GAGGGGAATTAGACTTAGCCAATTGAAACTAACAAGTGATGAGAACTCAATCTTTGTGAATGAAGATCCCATGAAAAATGTTCATATGGATAAGAGCGAGTCACTTGTTAGTTCTCCTAGCACCAAAAATTATTGGATTAAATTTTGTTCGGATCCTTTTCCTATGGTGTAAATGAGAAAGTGCTAGACACTACATTACTGAGAGAGGATAAATTTGTGTGTTTTTAATGAATTTCATATTCTTTATTGGTGGTGTATGATTTGAAGCATACACTTGATGAAATCACCTATATGAGTGTTGAGTGGGCCGCTTGTATGAGATCTTGACAAAATCTCTAAAGCACTAATGAAATAATCAAGTACACATGGCCTATTAGCGCACCACAACGTCAATAATTAGAATTATGAGGGTGTGATGTGAGTGGTAAACCTCTATGATACACTAAGTGATCTTGGTTCATATAACTTGCTACACCAATCTCACTGTATGTTAAGTACTATCATTCTAGGACTAGTTCATATAGTTTGTTACACTAGTTTGATGTATCAAATTCATGATGTGAATCCAGAAAATTCTTTTTTATTCTTCTTTTGTACTTTTGAAATATGTGGGAGATTGTTGTAAATTTTAATTATATTTCAAAATTTTAAAATAAATTTACTTTTAATTTTTAAGTGACAAAGATTTTTAAATAAAATTATTATTATTATTATTATTTTATTTGTAATTTATAAAAATATTTAATTTAGTTAATAATTATTTTATTCTAATATTGACTTGACTTAGTCAAAGTCATTAAACTTATTTCTCTCTCTTTTTTATATAAACGAGTCTCCTACTTTTTTATCATATAAAAGATATGAACAAATAACATGAATTATATATATTTCTTTTTCTTCATACTTCTTTTGGTTTTTCTGATTACATCTCCCAATCATCTCAAAGATTATCTCTTGTTGTTTTGATATCTCAAATTCATACTAAGAATCTAGAAATAACCTATTGAATCATGAGAGATTTGTACTTATGAGGCAGATAAATCCTTAAGGACAATCTATTTACACGCCTCAGATTTGTCTAACGGTTAATTATTTTGCAGGTTCAATGATTGAAATTACGAGTAGAAGTGATTGACTTGTACTGATGATCAATTTCTATAACAATATCTCACAAAATTCCTTGACCAAACCCCATTAATCCGAAGCCAAACCACAAAGAAATCACATTCGAAGTTCATTCTATCCTTAATGTTACAATGAAGTAAATCTTCCTCCAACTTTCCTGGTCTAAATATTGATTCTAATGAAAATAATTGAGAAGATCCATAGAAAAACCGTAGGACAAAGACGATCCCTTTATTACCACAAGATCTCACCTTATTTAAAATGGAAGCCAAAAGAAGCCGCAAATTAGGACATCGTGATTAAAGAGATGAGCATCCCCCGAGAATTCAAAATCATTGGAAAGGTGAGTGTCTGTTGCAAATTCAATATCCTTATATATCATAAATATGCCATATTAGTCTTAAAAGCTCAATCTACACTGAAAATTGACAAGATTCGAATGTAGATAGAGGTAAACACGAAAGCAAATATTCAGAATAAATAGAGAAAGAAAACCCCATAGATCAGGTGGATCTGTCGACTAATGATAAATAAGGCATACCAGTCGAATTAGCTCCTACCATCAAGTCAGATGAACTAATGCACGCAACAAAGAAGAAGGCAATCCCTAGAGAAAGCTGACGGTACCGCTAGCATAACCGAAAGGTTGTTAGAAATCAGTTATGAGAAATTAAGTTGTATGCGTGTCGATCATACTAGTCTTGACCAAGCATGATCGACCAAACATAAATAAATGGGTAACCACCTTGGTCGAGCATAAGTTATTACCATTTATAAGAATTTACCATGGGCTCGGTTGGATGAAACATGAAATGCTAAAATAATAAAGTTTTAGTCACAAACATGAACCGCTAGATAAAACATAACATTTGTATTCTCTATGATTTGAGGGATATCCTAAAAATACACAAGGTATGAACCGAACTTGTAACTTATTCCTATATAATGAAGGAATGAGAGAATAACAAAGACATCCAAAGACACGAAGGTGAGTATAGGTTGGATCTTTTTGGTAGAGTATTTTAGTGGGTGATTAGAGGGAAAGCTTTTTATTTAGAAGGATATTATATAGGTAAATGGCCATGTGTAGTGCATGATGCCACATTGATGAAGGTATAGAGGCATGGGAAAGAAGGGTACAAATGATGTTGTTTATGGTACAAATTTTTCTTTCGGCTTTTTCATTTTGTGAGGAGGTGTGAGGACACGAAAATCTAAAAGACATTCCATTATTTTTACAAAATTTATAAAACATAGTGTTATCATATTCTTTACAATTGTCACATTGGAAACATTTAATTTTTCTTTCAAATTGTGTTTAAATGTGAGTTCTAAATTGAAGAAAAATGAAATGAACCTGATATTTTGCATGAATTGGAAAAGTCAATAAAAATTTGTGTAATCGTCAAGAAATAATACACAGTAACGATGACTTTCTGAACTAAGAATTGGTGAAGTCCAGAGGTCACTGTGCACAATATCAAAAGGCATAAAAGTATGAGACACAGAGCTATAAAAAGGCAATTTTATTTGTTTTTCAAGAGGGCATGAATTACAAAAGTAATTGTTCTGAGACTTATTACATTGGAGAAAGTTGTCTCGGTGTAGAGAACTTAAGATAGTAGCTACTGAATGTCCTAAACGGTTGTGCCATAATTCTGTGGATAACACGGCAAAGGTGGATTGTGGTAAGGTTTTATTAGGTGGTCTTGTGGAAATGGGATAGAGGTCACCATAACCTTTACATCTCATTAACAGTATTCCTATCTGAAAATCCTTTACAGAAAAACCAAAAGGATCAAATTCAACCGACACATCATTATCTATGGTATATTTACGAACAAAGATAAGATTTTTTAGGAGTTTTGGTGTGTGTAAAACATTAGGTAATTTTAGAGGGTGAAGGGAATTTGTTAATGATGCATGTCCACAACCAATTACAAGAATATTTTGATCACTACCGATAGTAATATTATTACTTATATTGAAATAGGACGTGAGATTACCTCCGTTGGCCGTCATATGCGAGGTTGCTCTGGTGTCCATGTACCACTGGCCATCAAGAGTAGAAAGTGAGAGAGTATGTGTGGCAACTTGAATATCTGTTGGAGCATATGAGGAGGTTAGCACTGCATTGGCGACATAAGCTTGGTGAAATGGCCTGGGACCAAGGATATCGGGTTGTTCCTTTAGATTTCTTGCTGTTGGATACAAACAAGGTGGTGTAGCCCATGGTTGCCATGGCAGGGAGCTCCACTATTGATATTGAGTTGGGTACGGCAGATAAGCCCACTGCTGATACGGGTAATATGGTGAAGGACACTACTGTTGCGGAGCATGACCTCTGCCACATCCATTGTTTGGCCTTCGACCTCGTCCACGCTGTCCTCTGCCATTACTTCGACCACCATGATTGTGGTTGCCGTTGTTTCTGCGGTTAGGACGGGATGTCGATGAATCAACTGGTACGTTATTGTGAGACGCCATGAAAGATAAAATTTTGATTGAGCTTGACACCTTTTTCTGCAATGTTGTTTCTTCCAAAATGATCATGGAACGAGCTTTATAGAACCGAGGAAGTGAACCAGCATGACGAATTTGGGATCCCACAACAGCATATGCATCGGTTAGTCCCGAAATGAGTTGAAGAACTAAACGTTCATTCGATACAGGGGCACCAACATTAGCTAGTTTATGAGAGAGAGACTTGAGATGCTGACAGTAGGAGGAAGAATCAGAGAATTTCTCCATATGAGATCGCGAAAATTCTTGCTCTAGGTAGAGAGCCCTAGAATTCTTGTTATCATAAAAGATGTCGAATAAGTGATTCCACGCGATTTCAGCGGTGGAATTATGTTCGATGATAGTGTTGAGAAGATCATAAGAGATTGTTCTATATATCCACTGTAAAACGACGGCGTCAAGACGAAGCCACAATTGTGGATCGGTAGTTTTGAGAGAGGGGTCTGCGGTTGGTTCAGAGGGAATGATATGGTCAATCACTTGAAAAACTCGAGCATGAATTTTGAAAAGTTCTGACCACGTGTTATACGTGCCCTTTTCAATGTTCAGAGTAATCTTGATGAAATTAGTAATATTTGGGACAATGAGAGCAGGGTGAGTCGGTGTAGGAGTGGGAGGTGGAAGAGGAGGGTCGGTATGACCGATGGAGTGTGGGGAAGAGTTGTTGTTGGAGGAATCAATAGTGATAGTCATGACTATTTTGCGGTGGTTGAAGAGAAAAAGAATGAAAAATATGAAGAAAGAAGGTTGGCGACTAGTTTTAGAGTTTGGGATCAAACCAAGTCTGATACTATATAAGATAATTTAAGCCGTGCCTTTTCATTGATCAGATACTCATTTATATACACAATACAAATATGTGGTTATGATTCTAATAATCATTTGTAATCAACACTAATAATAATCTTTCTATATTTACATATCTAATATTGAAAATGAAAATAAGAATGATTTCTAATACTTCAAATTCACTTATTCATGTTTATGATAATCAAAATACGAGATTAGGAGTGTTGTTAAAGAAAAAAAATAAAACATTCAATGAAGTATTTCCTATATCAGATATACATTAAAATCAGAACACATCCTCTTCTAATAAGTGAATTAAAAGAAAAATTGTAATCAACCTAATTCACACCTAATACAATCCATTCAACCATTCATCAAAAATCAATAAAGATACAGAACTAGATTTAAATAAAAAAACTTAAAAATTCCACAATTAAATAATTTCGATTAATATAAGTTTTCGTTATACACCAATCTTTTAAACACATAGAACGATTGAATTTAATTTTCAAAATAAAAACATAAGAAACTGTGTTTACAATTACAAATCAAACGATCAAGATTCAGGATACACCTCTAGAGCATGGAACAAATTCTTTACGATGACTCATAAATTCATTCGAGTCAACACCAGAACGGTTCATTTGCATAGGCGAAGAAGTGAATTCTGAAATAGAATTATATCTTCGAAAATCGATGATTTTCTCTGCATAATGATCATCATCAACCCTTGAACAATAACCTGGATCTTCATGGTAACCTTGAAACTCGTTGTGACGTAGAGCAGCACCTGATGAAAGACATTTGTATTTCCTGCGACTTTTGGTTTTTCTGATTACTCTGAAAATCAAAGGTAAAAGACCCTCCATAATATGTTGAAAATATTATGGAGGGTTGATATATAAGTAGAAAGAAGAATAGAGAATGTTTTGGTTTTTGGAGGCTTTTACAATGGAGAATTATTAGACCTTGTTGGGTTAGGTGGGTTTCGATTTTGTGATTTTTAAATATGAATGAATGTGTTATTATATAAGGTGACAATGACAAGTTGTAAGACATTAATTAGTTAATAATATGAGTTTTGACTGAGCTAGCAGGGCATGTCGCATGCCAATAAAACCAAACAAATGCTGTTGTAATTTAGGTTATTTTAGGAGAATTTGACTTTTTAATGATGTCTATCTGGTATGACAAATTTGTGATGTCTATCTACAGATAAGTTACAGATGAGTTATAATAAAGACTATGGTTTTATTTTATTGATTAATAACTTCATTATTCCATAAAAAGGCTCCTATTATGAAGATTAATGGATATGATAAGGATTCTGAAAGGTCTTTATGTTAGTAATAATTTTTAATGTCATTTTCTGGTACGTCAAATGATGCCTCCACTGAATTTAGGGTGCCAAAATTGATTTTGTACTGTAATTAGAATATTAGATGTTATGTGAATTGATTAATTTTGAGTTTAGGTAAAAATAATTAGGACTGTTCACAAACTTACTTTAATCTAGTAAAATCATATTCGAACTAAAATAACATGCAGATAAAAAAAACGCCCATGTTTAGTCTTTCAAAATAAATAAATAAATAAATAAATAAATAAATAAATAAATAAATATATATATATATATATATATATATATATATATATATATATATATATATAAATAAATAAATAAATAAATAAATAAATAAATATATATATATATATATATAAATAAATAAATAAATAAATAAATAAATAAATATATATATATATATATATATATATATATATATATATATATATATATATATATATATAAATAAATAAATAAATAAATATATATATATATATAAATAAATATATATATATATAAATAAATAAATAAATAAATATATATATATATAAATATATATATATATATATATATATATATATATATATGAATTGATGATTAATTTTTTTCAATCAAATGGTTAGGAATATTAAGTAATTAAATATGCGGAGTAAGTCTTAATAACTTACTCTTAGAGTAAAAATATCCCATATATATATATATATATATATATATATATATATATATATATATATATATATATATATATATATATATATATATATATATATATATATATATATATATATATATATATATATATATATATATATATATATATATATATATATATATATATATATATATATATATATATATATATATATATATATATATATAAGGCCCAAATGATTAAGATCCGATCCATCTCAAATCCACTTGATTTGATTTAAGGTATAAAATCAGTTCAGAAGCTAAGAGGAATGTACAATCTTTGATCTTCATTTTTTCAGTACATTCATCTTGAATCTTGAACTGATTTGAGCGTTGAAGTGCTAATCACGCTTGTCCACCATGCGCCACCGTCTATGAGAATTAACTTCTAATTCCTAAGATTTCCACAAAATTCATGTTCGCTTCCCAACACCATCGAGCGAACATAGAAGTTCTAGATCTGGATTCTTATAGTTTCAGGTCCAAAACTATGATATATCAGTTCATAACCTCTTTAGGGCACTGAATTAAGAACAAGCCGACTTTCAATTTCCATGTTTTTGACGAATCCAAAATTGTCTTTCAGTTTCACCGCGCGTAGCCTTCTGATATCCTAAATCAAGAGCGCTCAAAGGCAAACACAAACATATACCTCAGTCGACTCAATTAGTCGTCGTTTCTATTACAATATATCAGATTCAGGTCTTCGATTCTCTCAAGAACTTCACGAAAGTAGCAGATGAAAGGATATTCGATCAAGATCTAGGTTTAATGTCAAGGTATAAAGGCAATATCCACGAAGATCATGGTGGAGATTTGTAATTTACCTTATGATATAACGCCACCCTCACTTTTCCCCATACCGGGGTGCTTACCGAGGCAACGACATCTGGATATGACAAGTTCATAGTTAACATCAGGCGGAAAATAAGTGATAGGACGCATGCTATTGGTATCAAATGACCTTTGACCAAGGGGATTCCCCCTCGAACCAGGTTTGGGGTTTTCACTTTCACTTTGTCCAGTCCTTACCAAAAGGGCTGACAGGGGGCACCTCTTAAGGAATAGATGCCTCATGGCTCAAATATCGAACCCCGAGTAAGTGTAACAATTTAACCAGGACCAGGATCCAAACACGGGTGTTAGTTAGCAACATCCCTCGAATGGTATCTACTAATTTGGATAAGCTGACTATCGAATCCCCAAAGTCGGGCCAAAAAAAAATGGGAATGACTGACCATGCAATCAGAGAGAAGGCACCATGGATTATAGTTGCATGGGGATCGGCCAGTCATAATCCCAAAATCCTAGTCGACATTGCAGTCCCAAAGGAAATGCTAGGAGGGATGAGCTATCCAATCTTCTCCCATGTAGAATGGGTAGGCAAGTGTCTCAAGGAATGTCATCTGCATCTGACTGCCCTACTCGGTCCAACAGAAGTCAACCACCAGGCTGAATTTTCCCTAGGAAGATCATCGACTACTTATAAACTACTTGAGGAAGATGCCCACTCCAGATTAATAATGGAGCCTCTGTAGACGAAATCAGAGCCACCGTTCAAGAAAACAAGTTTTCCAAGTGTGCATCCATGTCTAGTTCTCGAATGGAACAATGGCGTCATCTGTGAGAATCAACTTCTGATTCCTAAGATTTTCACAAAATTCATGTTCGCTTCACAACACCATCGAGCGAACTTAGAAGTTCTAGATCTGGATTCTTACAGTTTCAAGTCCAAATCTATGATATACCGGTTCATAACCTCCTTAGGTTACTGAGTCAAGAACAACCATACTTTCCATTTTTATGCTTCTGACGAATCCACAATCGTCTTTCAGTTTTACTGTGTGCAAACTTTTAAGATCTTAAAATCAAGAGCGCTCAAAGGCGAACATAAAGATATACCCCAGTAGGCTCAATTAGTCACCGTTTCTATTGTGATTTATCAAATTCAGATGTTCAGTTCTCTCAAGAACTCCACGAAAGTAGCAAAAGGAAGGATATCAGATCAAGATCTAGGTTAATATCAGGGTCTGAAGGCAATCTCCATGAAGGTCATGGCGGAGAATCGTAATTTACCTTTTGAGATATCACCACCCTCACTTTTCCCCCTACCAGGGTGCTTACTGAGGCAACAACGTCAGGATACGGTAAGTTCATAGTTAACATCAGGCGTAGAATAAGTGCTAGGACGCACAATATTGGTATCAAAGGACCCCTGACCAAGGGGATTCCCCCTCGGACCAGGTTTGGGGTTTTCTCTATCACTTGTCTAGTCCTTACCCAAAGGGCCGACGGGGGCACCACTTATGGAATACAAGCCTCAAGAACCAAATATCGATCCCCGAGTAAGCGCAACAATTCGACCAGGGCCAAGATCCAGGGTGTTAGTAAACAATATCCCTTGAATGGCATCGCCCAACTAGGATAAGCTAATTATCAAATCCTCAGAGTCAGACCAACAAAAAAAAAGGGAGTGTTTGTCCATGAAATCAGAGAGAAGGCACCATGGATTATAGTTGCATGGGGATCGGTCAGTCATAATCCCAAACTCCTAGTCGACAATGTAGTCCCAAAGGAAATGTTAGGATGGAAGAGCTATCCAATCTCCTCCCGCGTTGGATGGGTAGGAAAGTCTCTCAAGGAACATCGTCTACATTCAACTACCCTACTGGGTCCAATAGAAGTCGACCACCAGGCGGGATTTCCCCTAGGAAGATCGTCAACCACTTATAAACTACTTGAGGAAGATATCCACTCCAGAGTAATAAAGGAGCCGCCATAAAGGAAATTAGAGCCACCATTCAAGAAAACAAGTTTACCAAGTGTGCATCCATTCATGGTTCTCGAATAGGACAACGACGCCTTCTGTAAGAATCAACTTCTAATTCCTAAAATTTCCACAAAATTCATGTTCCCTTCACAACCCCATCGAGTGAACATAGAAGTTCTAGATCTGGTTTCTTACATTTTCAGGTCCAAATCTATAATATATCGGTTCATAACCTTCTTAGGTCACTGAATCAAGAATAAAATGACTTTTAATTTCTATGCTTTCGAAGAATCCACTATTGTATTTCAATTTTACAGTGTACAGCCTTCTAAGAACTTAAAATTAAGAGCGCTCGAAGGCGAACACAAAGATATTTCCCAGTCGGCTCAATTAATCGACATTTCTGTTAGAACAAAGTTTGATTCTACAACCCTTGTAAGAGTTTTGATGATAACAAACACAAAGAACAATTATGCACTCTAAAATTGTATTCTATTTTGTAGAGAAGTTTTGATGAAAGAAGATCAGAAGATAAGCTACAAGTCTATTCTTTGCTTAAATGTAGACAATTCTCAAAAAGCTCTGATGAAAGAAGACCAGAAGTTGCGCTAAGAGAAAGATGTTTCAACTCTGATTACACAACTCTGAGAAAGTAAGTCTAACTCTGCAAACAAGATCTTATGGCTCTGACCTTAAAAAGTTCTGAAGCAAGCAAAAACTGATACTTCAATGCTCTGAAGCATTACAAATCAAATATTTCCATTTCAAGAGTAACGGCTGGAAGGGAACAAGGATCTTTATTTTTGGAAAGCACCATAACTTTCATTAATCAAGTTTCCAAAAGATCATTCTTGCTGAACCTATTTAAACAAGACATGAGGATAAATCGTTCACGATTTCACAACTCTCAACAACGTTGGAATCCTTTCTAATCCTCATACTTACAATTCTTTCAACTGTGTAAAACATCACAATACTGTGATACTATTTTGTAGGAAAACAATACTGTACACTGTCTTATTATTATATTATTTAGTGCAATTCCTTGAGAAAAACCGGGT